GAGGATGTGGCCCCTCACAATGGCAGGGGGTGGAAAAAGATGAGCTTTAATGTCTTTCCAACCGAAACCATTCTGTGTTCTATGGGTCTAGTTGGCCGCTGGAATTCTTGCAGGGGACTGTGGTTAGTCCTGGACAATTCTGCCACCTGCAGCCTCAGGAAACCTCCTGGTGTTCCCAGCTCAAGGCAAGTCCAAGCTGAGGTCCAGCCTGTAGCATATATACCATGAGGAGGCAGAGAGGTGGGCTGAACTTCTGGATCAGGCTTTAGAGTGGGAACAGGTGCTGATGTGTACAACCACAGGATCAACCACCACTGCTTCCCACCACGGCACAGAGAAATCAACCAGTCTCACCTTAATGACAAAGTCCCCGAGCTGCAGGTCACTCAGGATCTCATGGACAATCCTCAGGCACTCAGCATCAGGAATCATGGGGTCAAACTGCCCAGCAATGTCAAAGTCCTGAGGGCAGAAGAAGTGACAGAAGGTCCTGGCACAGCTGAGAGGCTTCAGCCAGGCACATCACACTGCTCCACAGCAGCTGGAGGCACTCCAGCCAGGAAAACTCTCCTGCCCTCAGCCACAGCAGTGGCCACAACACTCACGCACTGGTAGAACTCGCGGTAGCGGCCGCGCGTCGTGGCTGGGTTGTCCCTCCTGTACACCTTGGCCACATGGTAGCGCTTCATGTTGGTGATCTTGTTCATGGCCAGGTAACGAGCAAAGGGCACCTGGGCTCGAGGAGTTAAGGATGGGAATGCAGAGATCCCTGGAGCTGCTGAAGCCCCCCATCTTCCTTTCCCTTTGCCAGCTGCTCCCTGATTTTTAACATGATCATGGTAGGATTCTTGGAGTGTCCTGTACAGGGGCAGGAGTTGGACTCAATGATCCTTGTGGGTCCCTTCCAACTTGAGATAATCTATGATCTCTATGGAGATCATCAGCTCAGGCTGAGTACGATACACCATTCTGAGCTCCTCCAACACCAGGACGGCTCCATTCCCTCCTTCTGACCCACAGTAGGGTGACACTGTGCACACACCAACCCTCACTCATTACTCCACCTCTCACAGTGCAATCAGAGGGAATTCAATGCATGGCACAGTCGTATGGACATTGAAGGGGAGATATTTTGGTGAGACATGGAGATGGGGAAGGCCTGGGATGGGCACTGCAGCACACACCTTTCCACATGGCACAGAAGGTGGGATGGACTGTAACTGGAAGGGAGTAAAACCAACAGTGCAGCAAACTGGTGCATGTCCATAGGCTATGGAAGGGGCTTCGCTGCAGGCCCTGGCCTGGCTGGGGTGAGGTGAGGTCATGACAATGACAGCCAGACCAGCTGGGGTGGCCAAGGAGGCTGCCATCACCCCAATGGGGCCTGCAGGGCAAGGGGGACCCCACAAGACATAGGTGACCACCACCTTAGTGTTCCACCACCCTCTCGGGGTACCACCATCCCCTTGGGAGCTCAGGATACAGTGAGGTCGTAGCGCAGGGCCAGAAGTTCCCCTCCCTGGTCCTGCAGCTCGTAGATGAGCTTTGTGTCCTCCCCATACTTCCCCATCAGCGTCTCCTGGATGGAAAGACAGGGAGCTGGTGACAGGGTCGCTTGGGACAGGGTGTAGAGCCCAGTCTCCATTGAGCCCAAGACTTGGGCTTGAGTATTGGGGGATGACACACATACCTCTCGGACCTGGGTCCACCTCCCTGTCCCCTCACACAATGAGAACCCAAGAGGGACTGTCACACCCCATCCCTGTGCCTCCCAAACCTGCCCTGCAGCCCGGGGGACAGGGGTACTGCCCAGCCCCGTGGGAGGACGCAGTGAGGA